TTACACATTTGCACTCACAAAATTGGTTGGTAAATTCAACGAGTGGGTGCATCGACCTGGTATATCAAGTTTCTGCAATTTTTTACGGCAAATCAGTAGATTTTCGGGATGTAGATTGCTTACTTTCAATTCATGAATGAATAAAGCAACGACATGGTTGAACTTCTTTGCATGGAAAGACGTTTAAAATAACAAAATCAAGACGTATTTAATGCAATTGCATTTATATCGAGTCAATTTCTTTTCAATAATATAACGGGATTTTTACTACCGGTGATTTGGGTATTTTAGCCCCAAAATACCTTTAAATCGACTTTATCTTCTAGGAGTTCGACAGAATTTTTCCTTTCTTCGCTTAAATTATTCCGTAGCACTTTTCTTCAAGAATCTGATAAGATTTTGCTTGAGGCAGATCAAAAAACTTAAATTCGATCGAATAGCTTTCTACTTTCACAATACACGGTCTCGTCAAGGTGCGTCTTTGACCTCGCAGTGTTGGATCGTGAATTCTCTTTTTATGCTGTTTGCCTATTTTGAAATCTCTGTAAATGAAAACTAAAGGGGTTGATATGTGCGAGTTAATGACGCGCCTTATCAACACATTGTGTTGGAGTTCACTGCTTGTTTTTTTTTAAATTTATTTATTTGCGCAAACATGCAAGTGAATCAAATTCCACCTCAGAACATAATGTAAAAGTAGGCTAAATCCTTCACATACAATACCTACCTAAAGGTAAAAAGATATAAGCTATACTGCCATTTTGATTTTTTGGTGGTTAAGGCTGATTTTCTCAAAAATGTTCGTGCTGCGGGCCTAGACCATAAAAGAAAAAACGGGAAGGGGTGAGGGAGGGAGAGGGGGGATAATTTTGGAATTATATCGACATGGGGGGCCCCTAGAAAAAATTTTGCGGGGGGGCCCAGCGGAAGTCCGTTACGCCACTGAGTGCACAGTTCATCCTTACATCCAGTGAAACTCTCCAAGTGAGTATGAATATGGAGCGAATACATTTTATAAGTGTAACATTGCAATGATAATATTTCTTATTTGAAAATTTCGTCCATCCATTTGTATGAGCATGCGATTTCATAATGACCATATTCAGCAATATTAGCCGTTGGATGAACAGGAACAGCTGTTTAATAAGCGGTGACAGGAATTTCTCGTTGGAATTATTACCAGGTAATTTCATGGTATTAAAGGTTGTTCTATTTTATAGAACAGGCGTTTATTTGCTGTGAAGAGATTTCCAGTTGATTCAACAGGAATTCCTGTCTCGGCATACTTAAACAAGAGCGTCTTCCTAAGTGCAGGAGACCCATTAGACATACATTTACATTGAACTTACTGCAATTTTATTTATTTATTTTTTGAGAAGCTAAATTGTTTCTCATTTCTTCCCACGGCTACGACTAGGATCCTAAAAATTTAAAAACTCTGGTGTCAAAAACGGAACATCGTGTGCCTACTGAACCGACTACGCAACTGTCTCCTGGTGACATTAGAAGAATCAACGACCTTTACCGGTGCGAGGGTAAGTTGCCTAATCTGTCGCTGTACGGATACACGACGCATGAATATTCGGAATTTGTAAAATTTATAGTGATAAAATCCAAATTTTCTAGCAAATGTATATTTCCCCTTCAATATTTTTCAGAGGATTTGATCGACAATTTAGTACAGAGGATCTGAAAATTCCGATGAAAAATATTGACAGTGCACCGTTCGAATGTATGGCAACAAAATGATTGGGCACTGTGAATAGGCTGATTTGGTGGTTGAAATATGAAGAAACACATAACCTTGTTTCTGATTCGCGTCTTTTGCGCCATGGTGGTGAAATACGTCCGTTAGTTCCTTACAATTGAAATTTCTCGTGTTTAATGAGTCCTTAGTTAATTTACTATCGGTCAAATACTAAATTATAATATACGAGGGTCATCCAAAAAGTAAGTTTCCCTACCTTGTATCTTCCGAACGAAAAGAGATAAATCAAGTCGGTAAAAATGTGCATATTAGGCATACTCTAAGTTTTAAAACAAACTCAAGTTTTTGAAAATCGGTCAAGGGGTTTGCGAGTAAACTTAATTTTACTGAGACAACCTCCTGTCGCCGCGTGCCCACCTCCGGGGTCAGGATGCGCGGAGAGTCGATTATAGAAGACTCGGGTTATCGCCTCTATACATCACATCAACAAGGAATTTTAATGTTTTCATTGAATAGGCCTTACCTTACTTTTTGACATAGTCTCCACATCTTTTTTAATATTTCTGGTATCATCATAGCAGCTTCTCGATGCCTTCCGCGTAGAAGCTTTCGCCTTGACTCTGAAACCAGTCATTGACAGCGATCTGTACCTCTGAATCGGTTGAAAATCGCTTTCATCGTGGAAGTTTTTCCGCTCGAGAACAAATGAAAGTCACATGAAGCTAAAGTACGAAAGTTTGAAGGATTGGGGGAAAATTTCCCTACGCAAAGCAACTGATTTGGGAGTGCAGATCGCTGTCAATGACTAGTTTCGGAGCCAATACGAGATCTTCTACGCGGAGGGCGTCAAGAAGCTGCTGTAATGATACCAAAAATGTCAAAGAGGATGTGGAGACTACGTCAAAAAGTAAGGTAACTACTACTAACTACTAGTAAGGTAGTTACTCAATGAAAACTTTAACATTTCTTGTTGATGTGATGTATAGAGGCGATAACCCGAGTCTTCTATAATCGACTCTCCGCGCATCCTGACCCCGGAGGTGGGCACGCGGCGACAGGAGTTGTCTCAGTAAAATTAAGTTTACTCGCGAACCCCTTGACCGATTTTCAAAAACTTGAAGTTTTTTTAAAGCTTAGAGTATGCCTAATATGTGCCTTTTTACTGATTTGATTTATCTCTTTTCGTTCGGAAGATACAAGGTAGGGAAACTTACTTTTTGGATGACCCTCGTAAATTATCACAAACAACTCATGAAAAAGCGTACATTGGTTATATTGGTTCGTTTTGATTTGAAGTTCGATATTGTATCGAATGATGTAGTCACTAAATCAGTCCATAGTTCTCTGTATGGATACCATATTTACATCATTAATGATTTGAATAACCCTCATTTATTAGGCTGATCATGGATTCTGTCACCTGCAATTTGCCTAAAATGTTACTAGATATGCATCAGTCCACCAACATGCACGAATTTTGATCAATTCGGGAAATAAACGGCCATCCCGTACCGTGCTTTGATTGAAAAATTACACTTGTATACAGTCATTAATCCTCTTACATTGCGTTCCCCCATATCAGGAATAGATCAAAAGCCAAAATTCCCATATGATGTCGCTTGTTCCTTTGACGATAATGACTGCGGCTTCAAAGGGCTGTGGTGCGAGGAACGTGAACAAAGTTTATGGAAGTGGAAAAAGAAACCATTTCGAGGGTTTTCAAAACCAGGTGGGTTCAATTTTTCATGTGCATGTGCATAGCTCTTTAGCAAGATGAAACTAAGGAAACTAAAAGTATCTGCATCGGAGCTTTATAAATAGAGCTTTTCTATTTAGCTGAGGCACTCCCAAGAGAGTACGGAGAACGAAGGTTTGGGAGGATTTTACAATGAAGCTGCTTGAAGAGTTAAAACAGAGGATCATTATTATACCATAATGATAACTTTGGACAGAGAGATCCTCTTGAAGTGCCTTCAAGAGGATTTTCTTTTGGATCAAGGAATACTATTCTTTCAAATAATCTCTTTACTCCCAATAAACTTTGAATTCAAGACGGAAATTACCGTTTTACAGTCAAGTTTTTGCATGATTTCAGTAATTATATTCCAAAGATTGTAAGCTGCACTACCCTAGCAATGTTGAAATGCTCTTGGTTCCTTCTTGCGAGATGCGCACCAATTATATATCTTGTGCTTCCGCGGCGGTGCGTCGATGATCGATCGATATTTCCTCAAATTAAAACTATGGCAAAAAATCGATTATAAAAAGGTTTTTTGTGGAAACACTGTTTATCGATCCTTCCCTGTAGGTTTAAATGTCAGATAAATCGATACATCGCAAAGCACTCCACGCCTCTGTTGTGCTTAACATTTTTCAAGAACTCTTGATTCGCTCTATATATTTCAGAGCCCGAGGGAGGATACCTGATTTGGTCTGTAAAGCCTGTCGAAAAACTGATGACAGAGGAAAATATTTGGAGCGTCGGTTTCTATGGAACAAGGCCTCACCACAGCATCCGCGGCCAAGAGGGATGTGTCAAATTCAAGTACTCATTCAATACTGGTGGGATGGGACGCCACACGCTCAAGGTTAGCAGATAAATTATGTTTGCACCTGTTGCGTATGTATCGGAAAGACAACTTTTTGACTTTCCGGAAACTTGTATTGGATTTGCAAAGAATTATCTGATTAGCCATTATTTACGACGGGGCCGTCCCATGAAAGGATGGCATGTGTAGCTTATCGATGGTAAAATTAACAGACTGTGTATATTGTTTGCGGTGTTTAAAAGTCACTCTCCGCTCCCGTTTTATTTCTATGAAGGAGAACAAATGAATATCATTCATTATAGTTTTCATAGATTTTTCAGTACACAGAGAGGAAAAATTAAGGAAGTTTAAAGAATTAACGTAATAGCAGGTTTCCATCAAAAAAATAAAGTCTGACAGGAAGTCTGCAACGTCGCAAACCAGATACGTGGTCTGGTAGTTCCGCCGTCAATACCCAGGTAGCAGTGATCATAAAAAGTTGCGATTTGATTGGAGAACGTAACGTGATTCTATGGATGTCGATTTATTGCAATTTTATCGGAAAAAAATAGTCATAAATTGCAATTTTATCTCATGAATTAGCGATAAAATCGGGATTTTATGGGAGGCGATTTGGTGCAATATTATCGAGCAAAATACTTTGATTAATGGAGAAAATATTTCAATTTTATAGAGGTAAAATTGCGACAAGATTGAAGATAGTTGCTCAGATATTGAAGATCCTATGACAATTTTAGCGCCAACAAATCATACAAAATTTGAGACTTTATTTCAACATATCCGCGATTTCTCCGTTGNCATATTTATGGTGAAATAAAATGAAATGGAAGAAAAAACGGGAATTAGCGAGCCACTAAGACTTTTCGCCAGCTTTTCGGTTAAAATACTCCACTGTGCGCCGTCAATACCCAGGTAGCAGTGATCATAAAAAGTTGCGATTTGATTGGAGAACGTAACGTGATTCTATGGATGTCGATTTATTGCAATTTTATCGGAAAAAAATAGTCATAAATTGCAATTTTATCTCATGAATTAGCGATAAAATCGGGATTTTATGGGAGGCGATTTGGTGCAATATTATCGAGCAAAATACTTTGATTAATGGAGAAAATATTTCAATTTTATAGAGGTAAAATTGCGACAAGATTGAAGATAGTTGCTCAGATATTGAAGATCCTATGACAATTTTAGCGCCAACAAATCATACAAAATTTGAGACTTTATTTCAACATATCCGCGATTTCTCCGTTGAGAAATGCTACTTGGGTCATCCATTCCCGCGTCTCCTCTCCATATTATTTTATCTGTAGCCATGAAAATCATCTAAAGTAGTTAGATGAATCGTTTTCCTTCTGAGTATAATGGCAATGTGAGAAAACATAGGAAATAAGTTATGGATTTTACACACCTAATTTTTCTATCTATACTATAAGCTCCAAGACCTCCTAATTTTGCGAAACTGGTAACGCTTAGTTCCAGCGTTCTACCGGGCCGATTTTCATGATTTTTGCGGCTATCGACGGGCAATTGTCTCTAGATAAGCCAACTCTTTTCAGATTTTCAAAATATGGCCCAGGTTTTTTTATATTACGTGGTAAAGTTGCGAATTCTCCCATTTAAACAATGTAAATTTATACTTTTTGTCATAGTTCGTTTGAGCGTTCTACCAGGCCGATTTCCATGATTCTTAGGTAAATCGACAGGTAATAGGCCCTAGATGAGCCCGCTGTAATCAGATTTTGGAAAAAGGACCCAGGTTTTTTTAAAATCACGTTATAAAAGTGAGTGAGTTTACAGAATGCTCCGGTACTGCTACCGCTATGCGCGGGAGGATGCGCAGTGGTCGAGGAGGTTGCGCAGTAGATGGGTAGCCTGCGCATCAGCTCTACACTTATTTACACAAGATTCGCACTGACATTCTCATGTGCAGCGGTGGCCGTGTCGTCTAAGACGTCAATTACGTCCACTTTGAATTCGGTGTGGGTTCGATCCCCGACCCCCGATATCTTAATTATTACCAATTACCTGACTACCATAGTTCATTGTTTTACTGCAATATTTCATCAAGCAGTCATTCCAAAACGCGTCCTTTAAATTTTAAAGTAGTTTTATGTAAAGTTTAAAATTAAAGTATACCTCATATCGTAATTGTTTAGGGGAAAAATAAAACTAACACTGATAGGAGGGTAAAAATAGGGCCGCGAAGCGGCCCATTGATGGCGCGGAGCGCCTTCAGGGGGTTGGGCCGCGTAGCGGCCAGGGGGCGTAGCCCCCTAGTCATCTTATATGGTGATAATCCACACCAAGTGCACAAACATTTCAAAATCATGAGTTGAAAAACGCTGACTCCGCGAGTTTGAATAATAGATCCAAACACACCCGTGCGCAGTGTGCAGCCAGCGCAGAACGCGTATTAGCGTCTACAAGACTGCGTGGATACTTCTCGCATTGCGCGCACACCACGGAGGATACTTCACGCATTGCTTGCACACGACGCGACGGTCTGTATGCGCAATGTGTGAGGTATTCATGCAGTCTTGTAAGCGCTAACACGTGTTAACCCTAGTCTGCCTGAGTGGGGTCAGATTGACCCCACGGGAGTTTCAACTCTTTGCCATTTCTTGTGGTATGCACGAAATTTTTTGTCCTTCACAGATAGGTCTACAAAAACATCTAGGAACACGATTTTGAAGGGGGAAAAAAAAAATGTGCATGAGAGATCAAAAAATTTACAAGTACCCCTAGAAAGCCTGAGCGGGGTCAGATATCCTTATAACATATATTTTACCATTTAGCATCACAAAAGCTTACTTTGAAGGTGTATTCATTTTTCTCTTTTTAATTTTTTTAGAAACTTATAAAACAAGCAAAATTTTTCAGATTTTTTTTCGTTTTCAGTATTTAGTAGCCCTATGATTTTGTTTTCTCATGCTGAGAACAACATGGCAACATGTGTGTGATAAAATGGTTGCATACCCTGCGCCGTGTTTTTTAAAACTTAGATATGCTTTATGGTTAGGGCCTGTAAGGTTAGTGCACTGATATTAACTAAAAACATGAAAAAAAACATAGCTAACTAATTGATTTTCAGCTGGGGTCAAATTGACCCCGCTCAGGCTTTCTCGTTGGTTCAGAGTCTCAGGCAGACTAGGGTTAAGCGCTGGCCGCACTGTTGATATACTAAATACTAATACTATACTAAGTTCTAATACTCAAAATCGCAGAGTAGCATTTTGCAACTCATGATCTTAAAATTCATGTCCATTCGGTACGGAATATTTTCATTAAAAATTATAGGCTAAAGGAAAATATACAGTGTGCTTTGCAATCTTTTAACTAGTTCAGAGCCAAATTTAATGGCTATTAAAACACGGAATTGTTTATTTTATTTTTGTGATTTGTTCTTTAACAAACTAATCCCACTGCTTTACTCCGTTGAGAAGTGCTACTTGGGTATGTGGTGTGTTGGTAATGTCACTAAATACCAAAGTGCGCACTGTAGGAGCAACGTCTATGCATACCATTGGTCGATTTTACCTACAGTAGTGTCGATTTCTTCAAGATTAAAAAGAAAAAGTTTGGATAAACTGATTCCAATATAAACAGTAAGCGCGCATCTACCATTCACTGACTGTTTTGGTGATTTTAGACTTTTCTTCAATACATTCATAATATTCTGCATGAAAATGTTGAGAGGGATGGTATGACTTTCAGAGCTTTCGCTATTCACTGGACTGTCGCAGGAATGACGATTCAACTAAATCAGAGTAATGTATCTGGAAATTAACATGATTTAATTTTTATATTTAATTGTCAATGTTCATATCTTATTCTGAATCATTTGTTGCTTTAGTTACAGAAGGTGGAGCTGGAGTCGCCATTCGATTCCACATTTCTCGGTTACGAAGTAAAATCGGCGTCTGTCATTTGGTCCGTTGGTGTCCTTCGTCGTCAAATGCCTAAGAAATCAACAGCTGCAAAATGGACTCCAGTATCAATCCCTGTGAACGTTTTAAATCCATTTTTGGTAAGATGACCATTTGAATCTGTAATGTGGGAAGGGTCGAATCTCTATGGTCGCACATCGCTCATTAACCTACTATATCGATTGCTGAAGTAAAAAACTGCGTAGTTCGATTGCAACATGTCAATGCGCCAACCATGTCAAATTTTCTCATTTTACTGTCATTTTTGTCGGAAAGTAAACGACCAAAATGGCAAAATGTCTTCTTGAAGCTACCTGAATTTTTTTTTTGAAAATAGGGAAAGAAAATTCATAGAAATCTGGATTACTCAGGGGGAATTTGAATGTGAAAGAAAGTTCCGTTAATGTTGCAAGAGCCGCCTCCTTGAGCCTCGTCCCGCCCCCTCCTACCTATTTTTGAGAGCTCCTCCATCATGACCTCACCTTTTACAGCTTTTTTAATTCTTTTTAAATTGGCAGTTGATTTTAAAGCTAATTAGTAGCACCATCGTTCTTTCTGTGAAATGTTTATTTTGCGGTACGAATAATTGAAAGCGCTTTGTATTTGCTAATTTCAACGCTTTGCTGCAACTATTCGAGCTGAAAAGATGTTCTATATTCCATTTACGCAAAATTGAAGGTACCTCCGCAGTCCATGGCTTCATCGTCGCCGCTGACGTCATCGGCACTTTATAATCCCCATTCACCTAACGACTCTAGTCTAACGAGTGCACCCCATCATTTTCACCCGTACATAGTTCTGTTTCGTGGAAATACGTCCCCCTTTAACATTGGTTTGGAATTTTCAGCTGGATTTTGCCACAATTTTGGAGGAAGGAGTCGGCGAGCATTGGGTGAAAATTGACGACTTCGAAGTTCGATACAAGCCATGCGCGGACCTGAGCCTGAGCCCGTCGGATTCAAAGAGATCCGACACGACTCAGATTCGAAGCAATTCTCAGAAGAAAACCAGTTGGTTGAAGACTTGCTTCTGGACAAAATTGAAACGGTCCATCAGGAAGCCTTCGAAATCCCCACAAAGGATGCCTTCGAGATCGCATCTGTCGTCTCCTTGTAGTTCACCAAGGAGATCATTAAGAGATGCGCTTAATTCCTCCGTTTGATGGTCAGAATCCTGTCAAATCCTCCGTCCACCAAAGAAATTAGAGCGGGGATAAAGCAACGCTCTTGTGTAGCGCGGTCGAGATTCAAAAGATCGAATAATATAAGAATCAACCAAATCAGATTTTGTGGAAAAAATCAGTCAATGTTTGAAACTAATCGTCTGAAAATTATCTTTCTTAACAAAATTTCAAAGTCCGGAGACTTTTTTTTTTTATTATGGTGATTAAAATAAAAAAGACGTTGATATGAGATATATTGCTTACGGCAAAACAAATACATTGATACATTGATTCAAATGCATATATTTGTTGGTTGATTGCAATATGTTGATAGTTTTTGAAGTATTATCCATTTTATTTCTCTGTTTTTGAAGGTGAGAAATACTTTGTTTGACTTTTCCATCTTTTCAGAAAAAACTGACACTTTTTCAACACCCCTCCCTTAATCAATCATGTGTAACGCCCCGAAAAGATATATTCGGGTTCTGATCCGACTTGGGATTTTTAGGGGTATAGTCATAAAAAAGAATCCTTGAAATGATATAACTCTCGCCAAAATTTGAGGGTGTTTCAGAGACCTCAAACGCCTTTTTTTGTCAAATGATTATTGATTTTTATCATCATGACGTATCAGTATTACGTTATACATCATAACGTATTTTGAACATACTGAACTTTAACTTCTCTTAAATTTCAAAAATAAGAGAAACCTCAACGCACAATAATAACAGCGCAGAGAGACAACTAATCGTGCTTGATTCACTTTCCGTGTTGTATCTGCAAAATTGAAGGCGCGATGGTACAAAGCGCGAACTTGCAGACTTGCAGTGCAGCAGTGCTCCATTTTATATGCTGCCAATGAGGTGTCGCATCACTTGGATTCGGGAAAATCGTTAGAATACGGGATCCGAATACGTCTCCTCTTTTCGGCTGCTTTGTTCAATAAATTGCCCCTTAGCGCACCATTGCAAGCAACTAACGGGAACAAAAACAATATAGAAATGGTGAAATAGACATGAAACACATGGCTGCCCTGCTAAGTAAGAACTCCGCAAGAGCCATCAGAGGCTGCCAAATTTCCTTTGACGAATGACGAATTTAAAGAAAAATTTGTGAATATTTCTCATCCGATTGTTCAGAGCATTACGTTCGTAATTTGATGTAAAAAGTCGGAATATTCCAAGGGAAAAAATTCACAACTTTCTTAAAAAATAAATATTTTCAAAGAAAAAATTTGGGAACATTCGAATAGTTATACGGCGTTTTTACGTATGACGGTTGAAGAAGTTCAAGGACCCGGATAATTCCTTCGTTACGTGCGGAGAAATTTTCGTGCCCTATAGACTTTTTGTAACACAAAGTCTCAAGTCGGGACAGATTGATCCGTAGGTAATGTAATACATCGATTTTGATAGTTTTTGAAATATTGTCCCTACTTCTATGTTTTTGAAGGTGAGGAATACTAATTTGACATTTTCACCTACGTAGTAACATACTGGCGCTTTGTCATCCCCCTCATCCGATCTGTGTGACTCGCCCCGATAATGAGCAGTCGGGTAAATTTGACCCGGCTTGAAACTTTTAGGGTTGGTCGTCAAATGAAGTCCTCTGACACGACACAGCTCTCGCCAAAATACATTTTTTTAGACGCGCGACCTATAGGGTGCTGCAGAGATGTCTGAACTTGTTTTCCCCTTAAATGTTTATTAATTAGGACAGAGATACACTTATTTGTGCTTAATGGATGTTCATGTCGCATTTTTTTGAGGCGCGATAGCGTGAAGCGTGAGCTCGCAGCTCTCCGCTTCACGCTGCGAGTAAGGTGTCACACAGATTTGTAGTCCGAGAGCCAGACGACTTTGAGTGACAAACTCGGGATACATGTTTTGACCCCCTAAATCGATAGCCTTGCATGCACTGAAACGGAAAATTTTTGTCTGCCGCCCTCTAGGTCCAAAAAACACCATCTGGTGACAAACTCCTGACGCTCAGCAGACAAGTCTATTATTAAAGATCATACCCAGGGTGACTAGAAAAACTTTGTCTGCCGCCTTCTAGCCTGTGCAATCACCCTCATCTAGGCCCTCAAAGTGGTCCAAAAAACACCATCTGGTGACAAACTCCTGACGCTCGGCAGACAAGTCTATTATTAAAGATCATACCCAGGGTGACTAGAAAAACTTTGTCTGCCGCCTTCTAGCCTGTGCCATCACCCTCATCTAGGCCCTCAAAGTGGTCCAAAAAACACCATCTGGTGACAAACTCCTGACGCCTAGTGCGGTTGCAGATGTACTCCTGTGAGCAGCTTGTGTAATAAAGTTTGAATGATACATCATTCTCTTCGTTTTTTCGTGTAGAATCCGATTTTCGATGTTGTCAAGTCCAAAAATGATGCTGGTGCCCCCAATTCAAGATGGCGCCCAAAATGGCCGCCCCGGGGGTCAAAATTCCAAAATTTGAGAATATTGTCGAGTTTGGTATCCATTTATATGTAATTTTGGTCGTAGAATTCATATCTGGTGTCAAAAAATAATTTCAACCCCTTAGGGTCCGTCAAATCCAAGATGGCGGCCAAAATTTCAACTTTAATGATAATTACCCAAGATGCACCTTTCACTGTCGAATGACGTGTCTTCATTTATGTTAATTAGGTCAGAAAACCTACAAGGGAGGTCTACAATGCCACTGCACCCTATGGAGGGCCAGGGTTCACCCCCTCCTACCCCCAATATGGCCGCCGCGGAGGGCATAAATAGTGACATTCTCTCAGAACGTCATAGTAGGTGTCCATTCCTATGTAATTTGAGGCGTAAATTCCAAATTTCAAGTCATAAATCGCAAATGTGAGACTTGCAATGGCTTATACCCTATATGGGGCCAGGGGAACCCCCTCAACCCCCTCTTCTTTCTAATATGGCTGCCATGGGGGGCATAAATAGTGAAATTCTCTCAGGACGTCATGTGAGGTGTCGATTCTTATGTAAGTAGAGGCTTATATTCCGAATTCCAAGTTGAAAATCGCAAATTAGAGGTCTGGAATGCCATTTCACCCTACGCGGGGCCAGGAGCAGCCCCCTACCCTCTTCAAAACGGTCGCCGGGGGGGGCATAGTTGCAGTGAAATTCTCTCAAAGCGGCATGTGAGGTGTCGATTCTAATGTAAGTTGAGGCCATTTCACCCTACGCGGGGCCAGGAGCAGCCCCGTACCCTCTTCAAAACGGCCGCCGGGGGGACATAGTTGCAGTGAAATTCTCTCAAAGCGGCATGTGAGGTGTCGATTCTCATGTAAGTTGAGGCGTAGATTCCGAATTTTAAGTCAGAAATCGTCAATATCTCAAAGTGACAAAAACACTTAAGCATGGCAATCGCTCTGGCCTTCATCTTGGAATAAAGAATGCATCTTGGGTTGGGTTCAGTTATGTCGAAAGAGCTGGAAATGAATCGGATAATTTAATGGTGATTGACATATTTCACCGGTGTTCTTTTTCAAATGTACACAGAGGATTCATATTGGTTTCTGGTTCTTTCATTATTAGATAACTGGATAATAGATGGTTCTTTTTGTAATCGATTTTCTTCTAGCAGGAGCGTGCGTTTTGTTGCAGATAACGCAGGAAACTGTAGGTGTCGCTTCTACTAGGAGACGAAACCCTGCGCTACAAAAAGCACTCAATTATCCAGTTGTTTTAATTGCAATTAAACTGAGTGCGTTCATAAACAATAACATAGGAACTCTGAATGCAGATACATACTTCGTCGGCAAAAAAATTATATTTTTGTGGGAATTTTTAAAAATGAAAAAAACAGACGCCCATCTGAGTCCTTTGCGTACATAGAAAAAGAATACGCGTGAAATTTGTCAATTACCATTAAAATCACCAATTCATTTCCAGCTCTTTCGACAAAAATGAACCCAAGCAGCATTTTTAGTCCAAAATGTAGGCCAAAGCGGTTGCCATATATAAGTATTTTCGTCACTATGGGATATTTACATGTTTTGACTTGTGATTCGAAATCCACGCCTCAGATTAAAAACAAATCGACACCTACTATGCCGCTTTGAGAGAATTTCACTGTTCCTATGTGGGCGAATATTGGAATAGCGGACATTTCAGGGTGAAAAAAGTCGATAAATCAAGTTCATAATTTCCCTTGGAAGTTATGTGTTTTCTTAATTCTGGACGATTTCTGGGATCTGAAAACGTATATGGTCCCAATGTTATGAATCGACACCTCACATGACGTCCTGAGAGAATTTCACTATTTATGCCCCCCATGGCAGCCATATTAGAAAGAAGAGGGGGTTGAGGGGGTTCCCCTGGCCCCATATAGGGTATAAGCCATTGCAAGTCTCACATTTGCGATTTATGACTTGAAATTTGGAATTTACGCCTCAAATTACATAGGAATGGACACCTACTATGACGTTCTGAGAGAATGTCACTATTTATGCCCTCCGCGGCGGCCATATTGGGGGTAGGAGGGGGTGAACCCTGGCCCTCCATAGGGTGCAGTGGCATTGTAGACCTCCCTTGTAGGTTTTCTGACCTAATTAACATAAATGAAGACACGTCATTCGACAGTGAAAGGTGCATCTTGGGTAATTATCATTAAAGTTGAAATTTTGGCCGCCATCTTGGATTTGACGGACCCTAAGGGGTTGAAATTATTTTTTGACACCAGATATGAATTCTACGACCAAAATTACATATAAATGGATACCAAACTCGACAATATTCTCAAATTTTGGAATTTTGACCCCCGGGGCGGCCATTTTGGGCGCCATCTTGAATTGGGGGCACCAGCATCATTTTTGGACTTGACAACATCGAAAATCGGATTCTACACGAAAAAACGAAGAGAATGATGTATCATTCAAACTTTATTACACAAGCTGCTCACAGGAGTACATCTGCAACCGCACTAGGCGTCAGGAGTTTGTCACCAGATGGTGTTTTTTGGACCACTTTGAGGGCCTAGATGAGGGTGATGGCACAGGCTAGAAGGCGGCAGACAAAGTTTTTCTAGTCACCCTGGGTATGATCTTTAATAATAGACTTGTCTGCCGAGCGTCAGGAGTTTGTCACCAGATGGTGTTTTTTGGACCACTTTGAGGGCCTAGATGAGGGTGATGGCACAGGCTAGAAGGCGGCAGACAAAGTTTTTCTAGTCACCCTGGGTATGATCTTTAATAATAGACTTGTCTGCCGAGCGTCAGGAGTTTGTCACCAGATGGTGTTTTTTGGACCACTTTGAGGGCCTAGATGAGGGTGATGGCACAGGCTAGAAGGCGGCAGACAAAGTTTTTCTAGTCACCCTGGGTATGATCTTTAATAATAGACTTGTCTGCCGAGCGTCAGGAGTTTGTCACCAGATGGTGTTTTTTGGACCACTTTGAGGGCCTAGATGAGGGTGATGGCACAGGCTAGAAGGCGGCAGACAAAGTTTTTCTAGTCACCCTGGGTATGATCTTTAATAATAGACTTGTCTGCCGAGCGTCAGGAGTTTGTCACCAGATGGTGTTTTTTGGACCACTTTGAGGGCCTAGATGAGGGTGATGGCACAGGCTAGAAGGCGGCAGACAAAGTTTTTCTAGTCACCCTGGGTATGATCTTTAATAATAGACTTGTCTGCCGAGCGTCAGGAGTTTGTCACCAGATGGTGTTTTTTGGACCACTTTGAGGGCCTAGATGAGGGTGATGGCACAGGCTAGAAGGCGGCAGACAAAGTTTTTCTAGTCACCCTGGGTATGATCTTTAATAATAGACTTGTCTGCCGAGCGTCAGGAGTTTGTCACCAGATGGTGTTTTTTGGACCACTTTGAGGGCCTAGATGAGGGTGATGGCACAGGCTAGAAGGCGGCAGACAAAGTTTTTCTAGTCACCCTGGGTATGATCTTTAATAATAGACTTGTCTGCCGAGCGTCAGGAGTTTGTCACCAGATGGTGTTTTTTGGACCACTTTGAGGGCCTAGATGAGGGTGATGGCACAGGCTAGAGGGCGGCAGACAAAAATTTTCCGTTTCAGTGCATGCAAGGCTATCGATTTAGGGGGTCAAAACATGTATCCCGAGTTTGTCACTCAAAGTCGTCTGGCTCTCTGACTATTGGGAGAAAAGTCAAAGAACGAGGCCCAAATTTTTATTTCCTACCTTCAGTTGTGTTGGTCACGCAGCCTTTGAAGCACCTCTAAAAAAGAGACAAACGAAACCAACACAAAATTGAAATAGAGCAAAGGAATGGACACGCGTTATGACGGCGCAGAGATACAACTATTCGTGCCTGGTTGATGTCCTTGTTGCTTCTGCAAAATTGAAGGCGCAATGGCACGACAAGTGAATTCGTAATGCCTCGCTCTATGCTGCCAATGAGGTGTCTTCATACAGTGAAAACCGATATTACGGGAGTCAATCAGGGATGGAATAATTCTATCTTTACTCTTAGCAACTAGCAGGATGGGACTGTAGCAAAGTTAAAGTAAGTACGGGTCACTAATAACGAACGGCATTAGGACCGATACAAATTCTATTTTTCCTCCCAGAGATGAACGTGAAGGAGAGTCTGGTATGCACGCTGACTACACTGAATCAGGATCCACCATACACCAATAAATTTTTCTTCCTAGGAAATCTACTCCAAAACACTGAAATGTCTCTTGAAAAAATAACTTTTATATTACAGCGCACGATCAACCTTACATATTTTTTAAGTCATTGGTGTTCATTAGTTCACGGACATTTCATTTTGGTCAATCTTCCGAGAGGTAAGGTAAATTTCACCGATAAACCAATGCTTTTATAGCGTCGGTTTATAGGTGTACTTATCGCTGTTGTATGGTATATCCGGTTGATTTCAACAAGCGAGCCCTACTGGCACACTTAAAAAAAGTTTCGGATGTAAAGCAGTTGACGTTGAATTTAGCGTGTAATACAACGGAAGAAACGGGATATTTCAATTTCAACCTGATATTTGCGTTACTCTGTATTCTACTGCGCATATTAATCAAACTCTTTTTTTTATATTTCTGCCAAAAAGCAAAGTATTCAAAGTGCCAACAAAGATATATTTGATATCAGGATCGAGATTAGCTATCAGCTTCGCAAACAACTATTAAAGTCGTTTCTAGTGCCATCCCATCGATACCTAATTTGCGTGTCTTACACGAATCATCATTATTAATAAGTTGAATTAAATTGAATAAAATTTAATTCAATTGAATAAAGTTAAATCAAATTAAATACATTTTAGTTAAATTAAATAAAGTTAAATTAAATTAAATAAAGTTCAACGAATGACGTGATAACACCATAAGTGATAAGTTTTTTTTCTATATATAAACAGACAGACAAAAAACTCATCACTACGACAGCAAAATGTTGATGACGCTAAACGAAAGATGATCATTGACATGCGGGCGCAAAAAATGTGTGATTCGCAATAGCTCGCAAGAAAGTAAAAAAAAAAAAAAAAAAATTGAAGCACTTTAGGCCCAATACCCGCCTTTAAATTGCGCAGAAAGTTGTTCATTAGTAATCAGTGTCGCAATGACTTGCGGGAAAAGAACTCTAAACTCAAATTCGACCGTCTATTTCAGCACAGTCGCGTCAGTCTACTGCCTTATTTGTTGATTCGTTGTTCAATGTTGGTTTTCACGGGGATGGTCCTCTTGGCCATTACCGCTGAGGTTGGTGCGCGCCCTAACATTCTGCCAAACGGTGAAGTGCTACAAGTTGAAGACGAGTTTGCGGCGGTGCGCAATAGTGCGGATCCAATGGTAATGCTGATATTGCAGTGGTATGCACCTATCTTTCCTCAAAAGAGAGAAAGACAGTATTTCGAACTTCTAACACTGAAAAAAAAAAAAAACTCCGACCGTGGGAGCCGCAATTACGGGCTATATAGACAAACCGTCCGTTCCGGGCTCAAAGGCCGAAAATTCTGGCTGCTGGAGGCGTAGCTTCCATTGCTCCGGGTTCAGAGGCCGAAGCTACGGCTCGAGCAGCCGGAATTTTCGGTCTTTTAGCCCGGAAAGGACGGTATGTCTATATAGCCCGTAATTGCGGCTCCCACGGCCGGAGTTTTTTTTTTCAGTGTAGTGAAACAGACGATTAATTTCTAAATCCGAGGAGCAGAAACAATTGAATTACATTGAGCAAAAAAGAATACCAGTGCAAGTTCACTGTTTTTAAAATGGCGCAACTTCTCCTTGTCTTTTGAAAATACTTAATATATGTATAGTATTAAAATTAACACAATTAATTTCCTTCATCAGTAACATTTTTTTGGTGGCCGCAAGTAAAAACGATTCGCTACTCTGGGAGATTTTATTGATAATTATGAATACATAACATTTTTACAACACTGCAATCGCGCTGCTTCCTTTTCGCTAAATGCGATCTAATCAATTTCTTTCAAAGTTCATCGCGAGACATATCGTCTTCTTCCGGCCAAAGTATCACAAACGCGATGCGACGTTTAAAAATTTCCGCCGTCATTTTATTCTTTTACAGAGAAATTGTTCAACAAAGCTGTTTGAAAATTCAACTGAATTTTCTTTGTGCTGCCGATAAAATTCAGTAAAATTTTCAAACGGATTCAACCAACAATTTCTCGTGGGTAAAATAATAATAGAGCGGCGGAAATTTTTTAAACGTAACGTGACGCTTGTGATACTTTGACTGGAAGGAGACGATAGATTATTATGTGATTTTTAAATGGATACACAATTTATGATCTTTACTGGGTTTTCTACCAATGTGGCAATATTAAAGGCGATAGTTAGGTTCAGTGGCGTGGCGTGCTTTATTGCGATACATCGATTGTTATGCCATTTAAACCTATGGAAAAGGATCGATAAACATAGTGTTCGCTGTGAACACCTTAATAATCGATTCTTTACCATAGGTTCAAATGGCGTAACAGTCGATATATCGCAATTCACGCCACGTCACTGGTTAGGTTATAGATATATCTCGATCGATTCAAAAATTGTTTATCAGATCAGAAGCTAAACATAGTATGCAATATGTATTTATTATATTTTTCTCGAATACGTAGTTATATTTCCGTGCCTTAGGTAGGTTTGATGCTTAAGCACTTATGCAATGACGTCGCGGGAAAACTTGTCGTAATATATACTTTAATCAAACAGGGTTATTGATACAACATAAGCATAAATATTTGTAGTAAGTATAAACAAAACTAGAATTCACGCATCTAAAGTTCCCTACCACCCTACTTGATTGTAATCCCATACGTCTCAAGCTATAAGAAGGTAAGAAAATGTAATTTCATTCAAGAAATACGTAACTCGGTGTAGAAAAGAGTGATATATAGAGGACGTATTAGTCTCCTTAAACAGATAACGAAATTCATTTAATATTAAAATATGCCAGAAAAATGAAAGGCAAAGGCTATAAATATCATTTTTTTAATTTTGAGAGATTCAACAACATGTTCTCTGCAGCGATCAGCCCGAAATATTTTGTAAGTCGCAATTGTGCATTTCTGTTAATCCCCTAGTTGTTTGGTAGATTTTCCTCTGGGACTACGAACAAGGGAATACAAAAAAACAACGCGTAAATCGAAGTTTTTCAAATAAAAAAAAAAAAAAAAAAAAATTCGTCGTTACCCGTATCTAATATTGACGCTTCTGAATATTTTCAAAGTAGCAGGATTTCTCTGAAAAATGAAGGGTATTAAATTGACCTAATTATTCTCGAATTTGAATGTTTCCTTTTTTTATCTATTCCTAAGTTACGGCGGAAGAAATACATGCTGAAGAATAAGGAGAAATTGTGGGGAGGAGCAGTTGTCACTTTCAAAATGCGAGATCTCATGTGTAAGTGAACGTTTAATGGTTTTTTTGTGCATGTGTGGGTAGGTGAGAGTGAGCTGGGAATAAGGTTGTGTGTGTGTAAGAGAGTTGGTATGGAGGAGGAGACTCACTGATGTTTAGCAAGAAAAAAAAAAAAAAATGATAAAAATGTCCCCCGGACGAGATAGGTGATCCTCGTGTATTTTGAGGCGCTGAATCCTAATGTGACCTCCGTCTTTACCCATCAACCTCCAGTTTCCGTAAAAATGGTGGGAACTACCGGATTTTTGAGGTAATATTCGGGTTTTCGAGCTCGAATTACACGAGGATCGATGTATCACACATGCAGAAAATTTTTCAATTTTCCCTGGAGGTGAGGACAGTTCAGAGAAGTTTTTTCCCCGGAAAAATCGGACCCTCTGGAAAACGGGAGGGGGGTGTCAGGGACAAATGGAGGTCAAGTGGATTCAGCTGCTCTTTATGCCAATAGTTGAAGTGAACCAGCCTGACGTTAGGCTATGTTTCATAAACTACTGTGAGCCTGAAGCCTGACTGATTCAGGCTGACTCACGTTTGGTAGGGATAATACATCAGGAGAGACCTAAAGAGGATCTCAGGAAATGATTTTCATTCCTCACAACAGGAAAATCGTCTAAAAACATCAAAAAGGTAGATTTTCCGGGAAAATTGTGCTTGATCAGAAAAATCCAAGGTCATATTCAGGTTCAGCGAGTTGAAGTTCATGAGAATCGATGTATAGCACGTCCCGAACATGTTTAAAATGTATTTTTATTAAGATTCGAGTCCAAAAAAACTTATACACAATTTTAGGCTCGGAAAAATCGACTTTACCGGAAAACTAGGGGGCAATGGGAAAAAACCGGATCATATTCGGATTCAGTGGCTCAGAATACATAAGAATCACTGTACTACGGGTACAGGAAAATTTATACGAATAAAGTGCATGCAAGACACATATACGTCAAATTTGCTCATTTTTCCGGAGAAAAGTCGCTTTTTCCCTTTGAGAGATGATAGGGAAAAATAAAGATCATTTCCGGACTCAGAGGCTCAAAATACTTTGGAATAGTCCTATCTCTTACCCGAGAAAAATTTCACCTGCATCCTGCGGCGGGTAGCAGTCGCAAAAATACCACAAATTCCTAAAATTAGACATTTTCCCGGGTAAAATCGACTTTTTTGGAAAACTGGAGGCTGATGGGATAAAATGGAGGTCATATTCAGATTCAACGCCTCAAGTTGCATGAGAGTCACCTTATCTTGTCCAGGAGACATTTTTGTCATTTTTTTTTTTTTTTGTTAAACAGCTATTAATGGTTCCAGAGTCCCTTTATACCCAGAGTTACGACAACTCACTTTTGGCTAAGCTGAAAGTGGCTAAAAAAAAATCCAATTCTGATTGGTTCTCGCTCATGGAGTCACAAACGAGTGCACCAAGATGGCGGTGACTCGAATGTGAACAAAAATAATGAAAACATTACCTAATTGTGGTTTATCAAGAGTAAATTGTTATTTCCATCGGTCCAAAATGAAAATAGATTAAGCAATAACTCACAAACCAATCTCATTTTCTTTTTAATTGATCAATTTTGTTGATGTTGTTGTTTTTGGATGACAGACATCGCAGGATTCCTTACCCTTATCCCTCAATATCGTTCGTTAGGGTGCACTCGTTTATGCCTCCATGGCCAGCCAAGGCCGGCTGCCAGTCAGCTGATAATCGAGTTGTCTTAACTCTCCGTATAAAGGGGCTCTAAATGGTTCCTGTGCTATAGCATGCAGACTGATGGGTCTGTTTTATGCAAGAGATAAAGCCAAGTGAATTCACTTTGATAGAGTAAATTCGCTCGAAAATTATGATGGGCGCCTCAAAAAAGTCTGAATTCCACTAATTATAGCGAGCAATCTGCGCAGTGTGTAACACGCTCCTGTAAAGTTACTGCTTACGAAGTCATTTTTTATTTGTAGTCGGCAGTTAGGTTATAGCCTTATGACGTAAAGACGGAGCGCTAGAAAAAAAAATGACGCAAATTCATGCAAACTTTTCGATTGGCAGAGAAATCGAGACAAATTTGAAATTCAATCATAGGGCTGCGCCTGAATAAAATTGTCTAATAAAAATATTCTAGGTTGATTTTTGCTCAAATTCCCTTACTCACATATATCTATTTAACTTGAGGTTATTTTTGGCCCGCCATCGACCGACTGATCTCATTTGGGATTAACGGTCATCATAAAGATTTTCAGACACCGCAAACGAGATATGAGATTGCGGATTTACGCCGTCGATATATGTCTTTAAATTTTAGATTGTAGAGAAATATTTTAATCGGTGATTATTAGTGGTTCTTCTTTTGTTTTACTTACTTCTAAGGGATCTCCGCTCAACACCCGTATCGAACAGTGCACGACGCTATGCGCGACATCATGCAAAAAACCTGCGTTCGATTTAAAGAGAGGAGTGGGGAAGCAGACTACGTGTACATCGAGTACGAATTTTCTCAAGCGTAAGTTCAACGATTTTGTTTGACTTCACATAACTTTACCTTTAGAATGGCTGACCAATCCTAGAACTCTGTAACGTTTTGAAACGCACAAATGTTAGGTTTACGCAGGTAAACCTATTAAATCTTGGTGTACAACCGCCCAAGAGATGAGCTGTAGTTTTCGTCCCCAGAGGATAAATAAATGCATTTTGTAGTTATTACTTTTTGAACACTGTCCTTTCGGATAGAGACGAAATTTTCCTAAATGTATCCCTTCTACACGGGCATTGCGATGAACCTTGACCAATAGGGATTATGTTTCATTCAAAGGAAGAATAAGAAACTTGCGTAAACCTCGAGTTAGGTTAGGTTTCCAAAGATAGTGGTCGCCCTGAAAAATAAGTAATGCTACCCCATTTTGCTAAACATTGGGACTATTAACAGATAACTAAAATAGCAATTGAACTCAAAAGAGGTGGAGAGAGAGAGGGGGAGAGCAGAGGGAGAGAGAGAGGGAGAGAGAGGGAGAGAGAGGGGGAGAGAGAGAGAGAGAGAGGAATAAGGAATGAGGTCAGAAGAAAAGCCCGATCCATAAGGAATGAAAAAACGCCTTCAATGGAGAATGATACTGAGCAACACACGGAAGCTTGAATAGTTGTAGCATTCCAGTATTTGAGATATTCCAATGGCTGAAGACCGAATCCACGGAGGGAAGGGGTCGCGTGAGTGGGAGGGGAGGGGGCGGGACACAGGTGGTTTCATTTCCTCTTCTTTCTTTCCTCCTCCTCCTTCTTCTTTTTCTTTAAAAAAAAACGCAATTTATTAACGCGTACAATTTTGATTCTATGCCCGTAAATAGCACTGACTTCCCAATTACTCATGTATTCGATTTTCCCGCTTGTTTGAGTATTTATACTTCCATCTAAAGTCCCTTTATACTGAGAGTCAAGACAACACCCCTCATGGAGTCACAAACGGGGAATAAAGATTACACAAATTGAACGTTTTTCGTAATCTTTGATCGGCTCATTCTTAAATTCCTTTCTCCGTTCCTTCTCTCATTCCGTTTGTTCCTTGTCGAACCTGAAATTCCTCGGTCCATTCCAGATTATAATCTTTGCAATTGGTGAAAATGTAATCTTCATTCCCGTTTGTGACACTGTGAAGGTCTAAAATCCGGTTAACCAATCAGAAATGGATTCGCATTGTCTTGACTCTCAGTATAAAGGGACTCTACTTCCATCTGGCAAGAAGCCAATCAAACTTCAGACATGTTTCATTATTAACGGCATTTTCCTTCGGCAGATCCTCTCATTCAGATCTCGGGAGAAAAGGCGGCATGCAAGTTTTAAATATTCACGGTGGAGCTTTTGACAAGAGAACGGTCCTGCATGAGTTGGGGCATGTCTTGGGTTTGGAGGATGAGCATTCACGACCGGATCGTGACCACTACATCAAGGTTATAAAGGCCAACCTTGCAGGGGTAAGACTCGACGCGCGCCGGTGCGAAACGCGCTTAAGCACCTTTAAACGTCGACAGGGATACTTCACGCATTGTGCAATGCTTGAAGTATCTACCTAGGTTTGTAGGCGCCAATGCTCGTTGCGTGCTGGCTGCCCGCCTGCCGCGCCGCCGCAGCATGCCACGGCGCGGCGCACAGTGGATTGAGTCAATCAGAGAGGTCGGATATAAAATATTTGACTAAAACTGCACATTTTGATGTTTATTTCGTCTCATTTCAAATTTTAAGGGGTCTTGCTACAGGAAAATTTCATGAGGAAACCAAGGGAGCCACTTTTAGAACCTCACAATTTTGTGTAAACGGAGTTATAAGTTCTTTAAAGTATCCAAACTTTGTCCGACCTCTTTTATTAACTCGATCCACTGTGCGGCACTTGTAAACTTGTCAAAAAAAATGTACAATGTGGGAAGCTTATTTCATCCACTGTACATGAATTTACATGAAGATGGAATTAAGTTGCTCTAGGGAGCAGAAGTACAGATTTGCGATGGTTTCACACATGAGATTAATAATTTGGAGATTTTCGATGCATTCACCGTATCGTGCGTAAAATTTTGACGAAGAAAAGCATACCTACTACAGAGTTTATTATTTTAACACGCCCAGGCGGTCATGATCGAGATTGAAAGTGAAAGTTAACTAACTTGTCACCCTTTTTTTCAGGGAACATCTGAGGTCTTCGAGCTTGTCGACAGAGAGAAAACGAATTTATTGGGAGAGCCTTTTGATTATAAGTCTATTATGATGTACCATGATACAGCCTACTCCAGTGTAATTTTACCTTATGTTCTTTTTAGTTTAGACCATACTTTTTTTTCTCCTCTTTCAAACGGTAAACATGTTTATGACCAAAACCCGCTGGAAACTCGAAGAGAAAGCTACGCTGCTTTTGCACGTAAGAGTGGCTCTTAAAATCGATGTAAACTCCAGCGGGCTGATTGTTTAAATCAATATCCTCGTTGTCTTCTTTGTCTATAGCTTTAGTCTATCAATTTCAACATTTAGCCGCCAGATGTACATTGGGGAGGTTTTAAACAAGTTTTTATGGAAATGATCTGTTTCAGACAAAAGCTACAGATATATTCATAAAGTCCGACACCACGTATCTCCATTGCTGTGTTTCGAAATCTATCTCCATTTAATTTTTTCGAAGAACAGCAAGTCAAATACATATATATAGTAGGAAATTTCAATCGAATATTTTTCTAATACAGAAAAAAATCATTAAGTTTTCAGAAAATTAAGTTAACTAGTTTTCCGATTAAAAAAAGGAGTATGATCTGTGACTATGTAAGTATACATAGAGAATATATTTTACGAGTGTAACATTGCGATAATATTATCTCTTAAATGAATATTCCGTCCCTGTAATTGTATGGGCTTGCAATTTCATAGTGACCATATTGAGTAATATTTTTAGCCTTTGGGTCAGCCGTGAAAGGAATGTCTCATTGGAATTAATACCAGGTAATTTCATGGAATTAAAGGCTGTTCCTTTTTGTCAAACAGGCGTTTATTTGCTGTGAAGAGATTTCCAGTTGATTCAACAGGAATTCCTGTCTCGGCGTACTTAACAAGAACGTTTTCCTAAGTGCAGGAGACCCATTAGACTTACATTTACATTGAGCTTACTGCAATTTTATTCATTTATTTTTTTCGAGAACCTTAATTTTTTTTCATTTTTTCCCACTGCTGCTTAGGATCCTAAAAATTTAAAAACTCTGGTGTCAAAAACGGAACATCGTGTGCCTACTGAACCGACTACGCAACTGTCTCCTGGTGACATTAGAAGAATCAACGACCTTTACCGGTGCGAGGGTAAGTTGCCTAATCTGTCGCTGTACGGATACACGACGCATGAATATTCGGAATTTGTAAAATTTATAGTGATAAAATCCAAATTTTCTAGCAAATGTATATTTCCCCTTCAATATTTTTCAGAGGATTTGATCGACAATTTAGTACAGAGGATCTGAAAATTCCGATGAAAAATATTGACAGTGCACCGTTCGAATGTATGGCAACAAAATGATTGGGCACTGTGAATAGGCTGATTTGGTGGTTGAAATATGAAGAAACACATAACCTTGTTTCTGATTCGCGTCTTTTGCGCCATGGTGGTGAAATACGCCCAGTAGTTCCTCACAATTGAAATTTCCTGTGTTTAATGAGTCCTTAGTTAATTTACTATCGGTCAAATACTAAATTATGATATACATTATCACAAGCAACTCACGAAAAATGTGTGCATGTGGTTATGTTGGTTTGTCTTGATTTGAACCTAAAGTTCGATATTGTATCGAATGATGTAGTCACTAAATCAGTCTATAGTTCTCTGTATATTTACCACATTTACATCATCAATGATTGGAATAACCCTCATGTATTAGGCTTATCACGGATTCTGTCACCTGCAATTTGCCTAAAATGTTACCAGATATGCATCAGTTCCACCAACACGTACGAATTATTATTAATTCCGGAAATAAACGGTCATCCCAGGCCATGTTTTGATTGAAAAAGTACATTTGTAAACAGTCATTGATCCTCTTACTTTGCTTTCCCCCATATTAGGAATAGATCAAAAGCCAAAATTCCCATTTGATGTTGCTTGTTCCTTTGACGATAATAGCTGCGGCTTCAAAGGGCTGCGCCGCTTTGAACGTCGTCAACGTGTTTGGGAGAGGAAAAAGAAACCATATCCAGGTTTTTCAACAACAGGTGGGTTTAATTTTTCATGTGTCTAGCTCTTTAGTGAGATGGAGCTGAACGAACTAAAAGTATGTTTACTTCATCGGAGCTTTATAAATAGAGCTTTTATATTTAGCGGGTGAACTTGGCCCATAAAAAATACGGAGAACGGGGTTTGGCCCAAGTAGCAGTTATCGCGATAAGTTGCGATTTGATCGGAGAATGTACTGTGATTTTATCGACGTTGATTCGCTGCAATTTTATCAAATACAAAACTGCGATTTAATCTCATGAATTTGCAATTAACTCGCGATTTCATCGACGGATCTTGAGAAATTGGTAAACAACTAAGTAGCATTTATCGAATAAATAATCGCGATATTCCGAAATTTAGTTGCGATTTTATTCAAAGATTTTTTGGTGATAAAATCGTTAGGATCATCAACATCTGATCGATAATTTTCAATCCTGTCGCAATATTATTGAACAAAAAATTGTGATAATTTGAGATACAATTTCGATTATACAGGGTGGCTCAGACCTACCGTACCATGCATTTTTTTCGGTTAATTTGGGTCGCACGAAGTCCAGGATCGCGGAGATGAATAAGTAATTGACCCCAAGGAATTCGAATTTCATGGTTTTAGAGCCCTCCTGGTGGCCCTTGGGAATTAAAAGGGGGGTCCGTACTTCAAAAGTCAGAGTTTATGTCAAAATTTTGAAATTATTTCATCAAAATCAGAACGTACGGAAATGTTTAACTTAAATTGACACAAAGAAATCCAAAATCGGTCCGTCCGTCTCCAAAATACCGACCCCTTAAGGTGGGGGACAGAGCCCCCTTTCAAAAAAATTCAAGTTCGTCAATTTGACGTGGAGACTCGAAATAATGTATGTACTCCCAATACTATGAATTCTAGACGGAAACTACCGTTGTGAAATCAAGTTTTCGCATGACTTTAGTGATTAGATTGTAAGCTGTACAATCCTAGCAAAACTGGAATGCTCTTGGTTCTTTTTTGCAAGATGCGCACCGATTATGTATCGTGCGCTTGTGCTCAACATTTTTTAAGAACTCTTGATTCGCTCTCTATATTCTAGAGCCCGATGGAGGATACCTGATTTGGTCTGTAAACCCTGTTAAAAAACTAACGACTGAGGATCATATTTGGAGCGTCGGTTTCTATGGAACAAGGCCTCACCACAGCATCCGCGGCCAAGAGGGATGTGTCAAATTCAAGTACTCATTCAATACTGGCGGGAAGGGACGCCACACGCTCAAGGTTAGCAGATAAATTATGTTTGCAACTGTTGCGTACAGGATCGAAAAGAAGTTTGAAAGTCTGTTTATGTCTTTTGTTAGTTGTAACTGATAGTAAAAAAATTAGGAGTATCAATCTAATTAAAAATGTAAAAACAAGCTACCAAAAATAATGAACTACTACTCATTCAATCGTGAATCCAAGAAAGGGAGGAAATCCAGTGACACTCACAGTCTATAAACTTATTAACTTTTTAAGTGAGTTTATCTGGTTAAGTTTAAAATGATTAATATATTTAGAAAACACCATATTTATTTGGTAGATTGATTAATCACCTGAGCATATACTTATAACGAATAAACAAACAACAATTTTAGTCTAATTTTTAATCTATAAATAATTCAAAAAATATTAATTATAGACGAATAGCCCATTATTTCTTTAATAACACAATTATTAAGCCCTATCAGACCACTAAAAACTGTTGGCCTAACCATTATGAAAAAAAATCTTAACATAGAAAAAACATAGTGTAATATAGTTAGTGGAGTTAGTTTTATTAAAGTAGATAAAACATGAAATCTCACTTATTCGAGTTTTCTAAAAATTAAGATAAGCCAAAAATTAAACGGGAAAGTAGGTATTTACCTATAAGTACCTATGACATGTAATGTGAAAGAAAAGCGCAATATAATTATTATTAACATTACAATTGTTTAACTTCCCGGAAACTTTTATTGGATTTCCAAATAATTACCTAATTAGCCATCATTGGCAACGGGAACATCACATGAAAGGATGGCAAGTGGGGCTCATTGATGGTACCACTAACAGACTGTGTACATCTCGTTTGCTGAATTTAAAACTCTCCGCTCCCATTTTATTTCTCATTCCTGAAAGTTTTCACTAATTTTCCTTTACACAGAGAAGCAAAATCACTGAAGTTTTCAAGAATTGACGTTGCATAGTTTTCCATCTAAAAATCAAAGTCTGAAAGGCAGTTTGCAACGTCGCAAACTAGATATGTGGACTGGTAGTTCCGCCGTCGAGACCCAGGTAGCAGTCGTCGTAAAAAGTTGCGATTTGATTGGAGAACGTAAACTGATTCTATGGATGTCCTTTTATTGCAATATTATTGGATAAAGAATTGCGATTAATTGCTATGTCATTGCATTAATTAGCGATAAAATAGCGATTTTATCCACGGCGATTTAGCGCAAAATTTTCGAGCAAAAAATCTTGATTAATTGAGACAGTATTTCCGTTGTATAGAAATAAGATTGCGACAAGATCGATGAAAATTGCTCAGATGCTCAGGATCCTAGCGATTTTATCGCCAAAAAATCATAGAGAATTTGAGACTTAATTACCACATATCGCGATTTCTCCGTTGAGAAATGCTATTTTGGTCACTCATCTTTTCCGCGTCTCTTCTTCATCTAGCCATTAAAATCATCTCAAATAGTCACATGGATCTTTTCCTTGTGAATTGATGAAAATGTGATAAAACATAGGAAATTTGTTGGATTTTACACGCCTAATTTTTGTATCATCTCGTATGGCAATAATGCATATCATGTGCACAAACATTTCAAAATCATGAGTTGAAAAACGTTGACTCCGCGAGTTTGAATAATAGATCCGAACACACCCGTGCAGTGTGCAGCCAGTACAGAACGCGTGTTAGCGCCTACAATACTGCATGGATACTTCTCGCATTGCGCGTACACCACGGAGGACTTCACGCATTGCTCTCACACTGCGGTCTGTATGCGCAATGCGTGAAGTATTCATACAGTCTTGTAGGCGCTAATAAGTGTTACGCGCTGACCGCATTGTTGAGTTTGGTTCTAATACTCAAACTCGAGGAGTAAGCGTTTTGCAAGTCATCATTTTGAAATACCTGTCCACTCAGTACGGCTTATTTACATTAAAAATCACATGCTAAAGGAAAATATATACAGTGTGTTTTGCAATCTTTAAACTGGTTCAGAGCCAATTTTGATGGCTAAATGGAAAATTGATGGCTATTAAAACAAGGAATTTTGGCGCGTACACGTAGTATACCGCCTTTGCGATCGTTTCGACACCCTACTCGATACAATAACCGAGTCCCATAGTTCCTTACCGGAAAGTGGCTGGCGCGAATTTCTTCGGTTTTCCAAGTAAAAAAGTGTAAAAAGTTCACTAATCCGTCAATAATTATGATTTAAATTGCTTGTCATTCTAGGACTTGAAATTACTTATTATTGTTTCATGAAAAATAAATGCACCCAAAACGACCGTAGCATATTGACTTTTACATATTTCCACTCACGAAATTGATTTGTAAATTCAACGAGTGAGTACATTGACCTGGTATATCAAGTTTCATGCGATTTTTTACGGCAAATCGGTAGATTTGCGGGATGTAGATTGCTTACTTTCAATTCATGAATGAATAAAGTATGGACATGGTTGAACTTCTTTGCATGGAAAGACGTTTAAAATAACAAAATCAAGACATTATTATTATTATTATTATTATTATTATTATTATTATTATTATTATTATTACTCTATATAAAGCTGCTGTTCCCACTCACTCTGCCCCCCCTAGATAAAAATTGGCCGAAGCGATTTCCTTTAAAATTGGTACACGCTTAGCTATTGTAATGAGGAGTTGATTAAAATTATTCCCATTTAAATCCGCTGCTTAGGACGCCCGCAAGAGCGAAAAGTTGTTTCTCCATATAGTATTATATTGGAGATACGCGGTTGTTTACGCGCATCGCGCCGAACAGGTTCAATCCTGTTGCGTGACGTCACTGCCTTATAGACGAAATATAAGGTTTTAGGCGGTATTTTTCAACGGATTTTGGTGGAAATTTGTAAGCGGGGGTATTTTTCAACGGGGATCTCGAATTTTTGTCGGATTTACAAAATGTCAAAATCCAAGATGGCGGCCGTGGCCTAAAATGCTAAGTCGGCTCCTGTTTGATCGATTTTCGTGTAACTCGGTTTCAAGGGGTATTTTTCGACGAGAAACTCGAATTTTTGGTCAGATTTTCAAAATTTCCAAATTCAAGATGGCGGCCGTGGCCTAAAATGCTAAGTCGGCTCCTGTTGGATCGATTTTCGTGTAACTCGGTTTCAAGGGGTATTTTTCGACGAGAAACTCGAATTATCGGTCAGATTTTCAAAATTTCCAAATCCAAGATGGCGGCCGTGGCCTAAAATGCTATATCGCTTCCGGATATCGATCGATTCTTGTGAAATTCGGTATTAGGGGGTATATTTCGACGGGAAATTAGAATTTAAGGTCCGGTTTTCAAAATTCAAAAATCCAAGATGACGAACGTTGTCTAAATTGCTATCTTGGCTTCCGATCCATCGATTTTTGTGAAATTCGGTATTAGGAGGTGTATTTCGACGGGAAATTAGAATTTTAGGTCCGATTTTCAACATTTCCAAATCCAAGATGGCGGCCCCGCACGAAAACGCGGTCCGGACTCCTAGAACATCAATTTCTGTACAACTTGGTGAAAAAGAAGATTAAGACATAATGTTGTCTCCTCATCAATGTTAAAAACTGTGCGGGGCGGTGGCGGCTCGCGGAGCGAGTCGCAAGTTCGTCGCGAAGCGTAGAACTGGGGTCCAGGGGCACTCCCCGGCTAGACGTGTCAGCTCGCAAAGCGAGCTAATCACGACTAGTCTATACTATAAGCTCCGAGGCCTCCTAATTTTGCGAAACTGGTGACGCTTAGTTCCAGCGTTTTACCGGGCCGATTTTCATGATTTTTGCGGCTATCGACGGGCAATTGTCTCTAGATAAGCCAACTCTTTTCAGTTTTTCAAAATATGACCCAGGTTTTTTTATATTACGTGGTAAAGTTGCGAATTCTCCCATTTAAACAATGTAAATTTATACTTTTTGTCATAGTTCGTTCGAGCGTTCTACCGGGCCGATTTCCATGATTTTTGCGTAAATCGACAGGTAATAGGCCCTAGATGAGCCCGCTCTAATCAGATTTTGGAAATAGGACCCAGGTTTTTTTTAAAATCACGTTATAAAGTTGAGCGAATTTACGGAATGCTCCGGGACTGCTAACGCAATGCGCGGGAGGATGCGCAGTAGTCAAGGAGGTTGCGCAGTAGCTTGGTAGCCTGCGCATCAGCTCTATACTTATCTACACAAGATTCACGCCTTTTCATCCATTTCAGCGGTGGCCGAGTCGTCTAAGACGTCGGATGTGTCCTCTATGTTCACAGTGTGGGTTCGATCCCCGACTCCTGACTCTCTTAATTAGTATCTGAATATCCATATTCGTTGTTTTACTGCAATATTTCATCAAGCAGTCATTCCATAACGCGTCCTTTTGACTTCAAGCATTTTTTTTCCCTTTATTCATCAAAACCAAAAATTATTTCATTCTAAAAGTAAAGTATACCTCATATCGTAATTTTTTAGGGGAAAAATAAAATTAACACTGATAGAAGGGTAAAAATAGGGCCGCGAAGCGGCCCATTGATGGCGCGGAGCGCCTTCAGGGGGTTGGGCCGCGTAGCAGCCAGGGGGCGTAGCCCCCTAGTATTTAATGCATTTGCATTTATATAGAGTCAATTTCTTATCAATAATATAACGGGATTTATACTACCGGTGATTTGGGTATTTTAGCCCCAAAATACCTTTAAATCGTTATCCTTTATCTCTCAGGAGTTCGACAGAATTTTTCCTTTCTTCGCTTAAATTATTCCGTGGCAATTTTCTTCAAGAATCTGATAAGATTTTGCTTGAGGCAGATCAAAAAACTTAAACTCGTTCGAATGGCTTTCTAGATTCACAATACACGGTCTCGTCAAGGTGCGTCTTTGACCTCGCAGTGTTGGATCGTGAATTCTTTTGTTGTGCTGTTTGCCTATTTTGAAATCTCTGTAAATGAAAACTAAAGGGGTTGATATGTGCGAGTTAATGTCGCGCCTTATCAACACATTAAGTTGGAGTTCATTGCTTGTTTTATATTATTTTTGTGATTTTTCCTGTAACAAACTAA